GGTCTCCACGGTGCCATGCGTTCGCTCCCTGGGGGAGCTGCGTGAAGCCCAGTGGGTTTTGTGGGCCTCGGTGTTGCCAAGCGCTGCAGAAGGGAGGAACTCATAAGTGTAGGCCCGCGAACGCGCGAGTGCGGGACCCGGCTTTGCAGCTCCGCACAGATCTCGCTGGGCGCTGGGTTTGGGGTAGGCTCGCACCTTTCCTGGGCCTCGCACCCGCGGGCTCCGGCGCCCGCGTTCCCACACTCTCCTCCCACCCCCACCCCCACCGCGTTCCCGGACTCTGCTCTCGGCGGCCCCTCCCCACACACGCGGCTGTTTGTTTTTGTTGGGTTTGTCAATGTTGTCTTTGTTCAAGAGATTGTGTCATCGCCGATGCCAGGAATAAAGTGCGACGCTGTGTGAGATCAAGTGTGTAACGTGTGTAGCCAGGGCTAAGGGCGCCTGTGGCCATTAGTGCCCGTGCACCAGAGGCACACGCGAGAATCTTGGCCCGCGAGGGGGGTCGGTGTATCTGGATGTGCCAAAGGGCACTAATGACCTGTGTGCGCTATCACACAAAGAGCTCTTGAATATGGACTGTGAATCTGGCATGAAAGGTGACAAACTGTAACCAACACATGTTCATCTGGCGTGTGTAAACACATGTGTGATGGCGCGAGTGTGAACGCATTCTCGTACTATCACAGCCGCGTGAGCGAAGCGTGTGAAACTCTTTGACATACGCATGCTAATGTTTGTGAGCAGTGTGTGAAAGAGAGGGGAGACGTGTTGGGGCGTGTAGTGAGGGCGGTGTGTTGGTGGGGCGTCCGGGCTGAGGTGGGACTTCTGGCCAGCGGCCCCGGGACGCCCTGGAGCACCGGCTCCGTCCCTTCCCCACGCCGTGTAAACAAACCCGCTGGAATTCGCCTCCCGGGGCTCCTGGCTCAGCCACACTCCCTTGCCTTCTAGAGAGGGGTGGTGTCCCGGTCGCACAGCGCAGGCAGGTGTTTGACGGACCGCATGTGCTGGCCGGAGCTGTGTCTGCGCGTGCCTCGCATGGCTGTGTGCGCTTGGGGGTGATGGTGTGTGAGCACCCCCGAGGCTGTGCGCTCTCCTGGGTGGTGGTGTGTGTGTCTCTGGCGGTCTCTGGCCCAGCTGCTTCTGCTCCTAGGCTGTTTCATCCTCCTCATTTACTGCCAGCCATAGCGGCAACCCCTGTAATTATGCTGGGCCCGGACGCCGGGGCAAGTCCGGCGCTGACCCCGGCGGGGAGGAGCCCGTGGAGCGCAGGGCTCCGACCTCCTGCCACCCTGGCCGAGGCTGCAGCCACAGGAGGCCGGACCGCCACGCTGAACGTAAATATTTACGGAGCGCCAGCACGGCCGAGGCCCGTGACCCTGGGGTGGGTCAGGGTCCGGCCCCATGCGCCGCCCTGCGCGCACCTGCCCTGGGAGACGTGCTCGGGCTCCAGTTTTTCTGTGGCGCGCCGCCCCGCCAGCCGGGCCGAAGTCCACACGCTGACCAGCCCAGGGCCCAACTCACGCGCTGTTTGCTCACCTGGGAGGACACCTGGGTGCCCCGTGAGAGCACCCCTTTCAGCTCGTGTGTTCCACAGACTTGACACCCCGTGAGGGCAGGAGTTTTGCTTTGTTCCTTGTGGTACTGCTAGCGCCTGGTACTGTACCTAGCACATGTAGTAGATACTCAATACGTCAATGTTTGTTGAGTGAGTGAGGTCACTCACTATTCCGTGAAGGCGTTAAATTCTGCCAGCTGCTCCGAGAAGGAACTAGCAGAGGGAAAAAGCAGGGCATGGTAGTGCTTGCCTATAATCCCAGCACTTTGGGAAGCTGGAGCAGGAGGATTGAAAATTCAAGCACAGTTTGGGTAATTTAGCGATTTGGTAAGACACTAAAAAATAGGACCGGGACTGTAGCTCAGTGTGAAGGTCTTAGGTTCAAACCCCAGTGCTGAAAGGAAGGGGAAAAAAACCACTTGGGCCAGGGCAGGTTCGAACTTGCTGGGCCCACCCTGGCGGGGCCACGTCCGCCGGCACCTAGAAGAGGGGTGAGGGGATCCCCCTCCAACTGGCCGCCAAGCCCTTAAGGCTCCCAGACGCCGGATAACGTGCAAAGATTTTTTTTTTTTTCTCCTTTTGCCGCAGCAGGGACTGAACGTGGGGCCTCAACATCCAGTAGGCATACTCTCTACCACTTAGCTACTTCCTCAGTCCGACGATGGGCATCGCGATGGGCACCTGGAGGGAGGCTAAGCTACAGTCAATGCTAGGGAGAGACAGCGATCGATGGGGGCTGCGGCTCCGGAGCGCGCTTTTCCCGGACTCGGGTAGCAGCGGGGGGGCTCCACCAGCCCTCTGGGCCGCAGAGTGGCGGAGTGGCTACACTGCAGACCCTCCCGGGGCCGCCGCGCCTCCTGGTGGACCACGCGGAGAGGCGCAGGCGCTGTGCCTTCTAGAGAGTCGACAGCAGGGATTTCCTTCTGTGAGCCGCACCGCCCTGGGCCCCTCGGGGCGCTCGGCCTGCCCAGGCGGGTCTCGTCTCGATCCTTGCTTTGGGCCACCTCCCACTGCACGCTGTGTGCTTGCTCGGGCTTTCAGCGCCGCCACCCCCAGGCACACACCTGTGTTCAGAGTCGACAGTCTGAGGTGTCTGTCTGCCAGGCTCTGTCTGGGAAATTCCCTGTGAGTCCCTGCTGGGGATTCCTAAGGGGGAAAAGCGAGCCCTCTGGGTGCCCTGGGGAGCCCTGCGCCGAAGGGAGAGGGTGCCATCTGCTCGGCAGTGTCCACCCGCAGGCAGCTGCCTTTCCAGTCTGGAGCTGGCCTAGCTGTTTCTTGTTGGCCCCGCCGCGGCCAGCCGGTGACTTGTGTCTACACCAGCTCAGCCCTGAGGGCATCTCTGGCAGCCTGGTGAGACTGCAGCGGAGGGGTGGGGCCTGAGCCTGGAGCCGCCTCTATCCTGTTCGTTCAACATCATTTTGAAGAATAAAAATATATGTTTCTCACTTTATTAGTAGTATGTGTGCTTTTTTCAAAAGTTGGAAAATGGAGGAAGACATGGGGGAGCCAGGAAAGTCTCCCTTCTGTTCACATGGCACTGGGGACTAGACCCACGGCCTTCACACTGAGCTACATTCCCAAACCGTGATTTTTTTTTTAGACACACTGAACCTGAATTTGCTATCCTCCTCCCTCAGCCTCCTAGACTGCTGAGATTACAGCCATGTGTCACCATTCCCTTCCCCCAAACCATTTTTAGTTTGTTTTTGTTTTTGAGACAGGGTCTTCCTTGTAATTCAGGCTGGCCTTGAACTCACTGTGTAGTTCAGGGCAGGATTACAGGTATGCATCACCACACCTGGCCCTCTAACTTTATGGTAGAAGACATTTTCCATTCTGTGAAACAAACAAATATAACCCACATATATACATTTTTGGTGCTAGGGATCAAACCCAGGGACTTGCACAAGCCAGGCAAGTGCGGTACCACTGAGCTATGGTCTCGGCAAGTGTGGGCTATATGCATAGTGTTTCATTGAGTGTGTCAGGATTTGCCTGTGTAATGAAGCAGAATAGAAATAAACACATGCAGGGGCTGGAGATTTAGCTCAGCGGCAAAAAGCGCCTGCCTGGCAAGCGCAAGGTCGTGAGTTCGGTTCCCCGTACCGGAGAAAAACAAAAACAAAAACAAAAACAAACAAACAAAAAAAAGAAATAAACACATGCACAAAAAGAAATAAATGCATTCACAAGCTGGCCATGGTGGTTCATGCCTGTAACCCCAGCACTTGGGAGGCTGAGGCAGGAGTGAATTCCAGGCCAATTTAGACTACAAGGCGAGATCCTATTTCCCAAAACTTGGACATAGCAATTACTCCTCCAAATTGGTCACCACCTCTTTCAGGGCATAGTATTAAATTTTATTTTCTAAAAAAAACAAAATCAAATTATAAACAAAAGCCACGTTCACACATATACACTCCTCAGTTGCTGAGCAGTTGGGTTCATGGGTTCTTGGGGCTTGGAAATGATATGTTTTTATCAACAGATATGATGAAGCATCTCCTGTGAACTGAGTGAACTCTGCACCATGGCAGGAGGAATGCAGGGAGGCAGTGGGCTACTGCCTGGTTTCACTGAGCACACAGTAGGGCATGTGCTTTTCAGGATAGGAGAGAGTTTCTCAGATGTGTGAAAAAGCTTTTGATATTGCCAAGCCAAAGCCAGATTTTTTTTTTTTTTTTTGAAGTGCTGGGGAGTCTTCACACTGAGTTATATCACAACCCTTTAAAAATGACTTTTATTTTAAGATAGGGTCTTATTCAGTCACTAAATTGCCCAGGCTAGACTCAAATTTGAATTCCTCCTGCCTTAGCCTGTCAGAGTGCTGGATATACAGTCATGGGCCACCACACTTGGCTCAGTGCTACTAGTCTTTTGACTACTAGTCTGGTTATCTTATTGAGGGTCGAGGTGAATCTAAAGGATCTGTCCCACCAGGAAGGGTTCAGAATCAGGGAGTAGGTAGGATCATCCCCCTGAGACGATTTGAGGATGAGGAGGAGGGATTGTGGGGCGAGGCAGAAGCTAGGGAGCATAGCACTGTGGATTCCGCACAGAAATCACCAAGGTGCTATATTTTGCTGCCTCTTCCACCAAACATTTACTAATCACTTAGTAAAGTGACAACTTTTTTTTGAGGCAAGGTCTTGCTTTGTAGCTCAGTGTAGCTTTGAACTGACTTTGTAATACAGGTTGGCCTTGAACTCATGACA